GTGGTTTCAAGTTAGCTTCTTAATGTTCATGCACTTGGGTTACTTCCTCCGAGGCGTGAGATAGCGATTACGAAGCATGGTGTTTACTAGGTATCGATCTTCTCGTGCTGTGGTACACCTAGTTCTGCCTGTTCCTAGTCTACGTAGGTTAGAGCCAGTTTCCTCGTAACGTCCGAGAACTCTTTGTACTGTTGACAGTGACACACCGACAGTCCTGGCTGAATCGCTCTGACTCTGGCCGGTTTCCAACATTGTAAGGATTCTGGTGCATTCTTCAGTTGTAAGCGACATGATTACACGACGAATAATAAATATTGAATACTATCAATATGGTTTATATACCCACTTAAATGACAGATTAGAAACAAATGCAGTAATTTCGTAGTTCCATCTTCGAAAGTTTCCCTTTTTATTTTATTTTTTTGATGACATAATCTTGCAGTAACTTTTAATACCTTAATTTAAGGAGTATTTAATTGTCTATTAAACACAGTTTATTTCATTAAGCTAGTAGAATTCTTATTTTCCGAAATTTATAGGTTTTTTAAGTGACCTGGATTCATTGCTCTCGAGTGTATATAAAGTATAAATGTTACATTTCCTATGATATATACACATATAACAAAGAACATATAATAAAAGAGAACGCAAAGAAGTAAAAAAAAATCGCTTTTACATTAAAAATATTATTAAAGATGAGACAGCAGAGAGATACAGAAAAAGTAGGTACAAGATAAGATAGATAGTTTCTATGTATTAATTATTTTAAGAAGTATAATTTCTCTCTATATTTATATTGATATTTCAAGCACATAATAATTATTTTAAACAAATTGCTAAAATAATCTAAAATGTAATAACTTGACTAAATTTCAATATTAAATATTATAATTACAACTTACATTTTCAACTGTTTACTGTATTAAATTCTAAATATAATTTACCTATGAGTTAAAATATATAATGTAATTTTCAGACTTTTACTTTCAATATTGCCGGGATAGTATCCATAAATCTCTATTGAATAAGGGACGACAGATAAAATATAAAAAAATATATCAAGTTCTCTGAATATTATCACCAAAAGAAATCAACGAATGGCAAAGGAAATATCCACATTCGTGTACACCCTTGTCATTCAATGACCGGCCGAGTGTAAAATTAAATTCTCATTTCGTGCTCTTCCTTCGCTGTGTTTGTAATGGAAACATGCTTGACAACGGGGCATGCCCTAAAACAATACAATATACCCTTGACAAATCAGAATAAATGGAATAAACGGCTTTTCAACGTACGTTATGGGAAAAGTTAGAATTGCCAACATTTACGCATCTACGTTTATTGAATTAAAATCTGTGTACATATTCGTTACGTACGTATAATTTGTGTTGTTATTCTGTTATAACAAAGTTACAGAAAAGGCGCGATGTCAAAGGAAGTTCCAATTAAAACACCTACTCATTTAAATTAATCATAATAATAAAACTAAATATACAATTATAAAACTTTTAGTGATTAATTTTATATTTATAATGTTCGAGACTGTGTGGTCACCTCTTTATATTGGAAAATATATTATTTTTAATTGCCAATAAATCCTTTGAAACCGAAATTGCCGACACAAAAATTAATACCTATGAACTGTTGTTTTCGTAATAAACATTATAGAATAACGAGTGCAAGATCCTCGTGAAAAACGATACGGGGGCCTGTAAAGCGGCTCAGTAAAAAATATTTATTGGCAATAAATGACGCTGGGTATCGTTACGGCGATCTGGCGGGCTTTAGGTAGTAAATTTAATTTGGGCATTGATCGACCATAGTGATACTAAGCGCAATATTTCCGACCTATCTTAACTTTATTATATTGTTATGAGAAAAGAATAAAATATATTTCTTTATATTATTTAAGCGTAAAATTGAATTGTGTATTTATAAAAATGCCACCAGATCTCATTAAAAGAGTTGTCGATCGATGAAGTGAAACATTGTGGTGCTAATAGGTTAAGACTTGATTTAATGCTAGATTCCGTCCGTAAACCTCTTTAAATTTTAAAGTTTTATATAAAGTACTACTTTTGAATCAAATGTCTTATAAACCAATATCTAAATTAAAATAATAATGTTGTTGTATTATCAAACTAATATTTTAATTTTGGAAAAAGAAATTGTTAATTTTTCGTTTCAGAATTAAACACACTTAGATAAGTGACAAACGAAGAAACGAATCCACTGGTAGAGACGTTTCGGTTAGCACCTGCTTGTGAAAAAGCAAGACGCTTTCTGTGTCTCGTTTTAGATTATATGTGTAGTAGCAACTTTAAATTTCGTTGAGGCGAAGTTAACTAGTATAGATTTCAGAAGCCATTATTTCGTGAAACTCGCAAGAAATCCACTAAACAAAACAAAGTCATTTCTATAAAACGATTTTTCTTATTGTCTGCCTACTTTACTTAATATGCCCATATTTATTCAAACGCTTAGTGAGATAATCGCGATCTTGAAAAACTTCCCACTGCAAAGCTCCGAAGAGTTATTCATAATGGAATAAATAACCTTCATTTCCCTAGTGGGCAAACGCAAGTAAGATATTTGCGGAGATTTGAAAATACTTCGAGAGTACACATAGCGATCAACATTCGCTTTGTTTAGTAGACTAGTATACCATAGTTACATTTAGTAGTATACGTTTTTTTCACTTTGATTTATATAGAGTTTATATCCAAAAAAGGAATGTAATTTGTTCAAGACTAATGTACGTGAGTTTCTTTATTTCACTATTGCTTCTAAATGACAGAACAGATTTGGATGTATCAGATATTCTCAGAATTCTTGCATTGTCATAGTGATACTGATGTTGAAGTTTTTTTATTCGAATATTTGGTATTTTACGAACAATTTCAGTTCATTCGTCGAATACTAAAGTGGCAATGGGCTTGTCATATTGCTCAAAGAACTGACAAGTGATATGGAAAAAATGTTCTGCAGTGGCGATACCGTACAGGCAAACGCAGGGAAGGGGGGGGGGACGCTCAACTAGATGGAGGGATGACCTCAAATGCATTGCAGGGAGTCAATAAATGCAGATGGCTCCATATCTTTCCATATAGCAGTCTACGAAGGAGGCCTATGAAGAGCAGTGGACAGATAATGTCTAATACGATAATGATAATGATGATAATGATATAATCTAATATTTCCAATTCACAAAATATACATTAGTATTCATAAATATATATTAGTATATAAAGATTAATTGATATTTATTAATAAATTCTATATTACTTAAAATCTTTATAAAAATGTGTGATTATGTATGACTTATTCATCTTTATTATTAAAATATATAATAATAAGTAGTTAGGTATACAAACGTAAAAAAATAGTAAGTTACGTATACAATACTTTTTAAAAGTAGAGAATATGTCTTTCTATCAATTCTAAAAATCTCCATTTTAAGATCATAATAAGCCGGTAGCATAAAAGGGATTACGTGATATGCTTCCGGCATTCAAAAAGACCTTGCTCTGACCGAGTGCAATGATTCGAGTTAACAGCCTCGTTATATCGTTATACTCGTATTTTTATAGTATAAAACGGATTATTGTAATACATTTACAAGCATAAAGAATGTTAAACATTTATTTATCGAAAATGAACTTCTAATACCTAAAGTATATTTTACTTGCATCACAATTGCGTCTTAAAAATTATATAATAAGTAAATAATAGATTTAAGTAAGTTTTACTCATGTATACTTAACTTCGTATAATAACAATTCAACGAATTTTTATTGATTTAGTATACATGTAATGTAAATACACATTATAAATATAATAGAGAGGAATATAGGCTTCTTTTAATACCAGTAAATCAGTATTAGATGGATGAAATCGTAGGAACAGTTAATATTCTTATAGTTACAGAGTGTTTACCATGAAAGCTGATACCAAAATTCCGTGCATGAGTTACCTCCATATCAAAATCGAGGTGTTATTTATCGAAAAACTTATAACGTAAATTATCAAAACAATTGAAATTTACTCACAACGATTTTGATAGATAATATTTCTTTCATGATAATATAAACATTATTCTTGTATTGTTTGATTCTGTACTTTCATTTTCAATTCATGGTAGTCATATGGAACATGTTTACCTGCTTTCATAAAGATATAAAAAAAATATTATCGATATCCATGCATGTACAAAATTATAATATTTGGGAATGTATATCGTACGTAATTTCGGGTAAAAGCGTGTTGATTTGAGATTTTGTTTGACCCGAATAGTCTTCGATGATAATCTATGAGTGCGTATGTACGAATGTGTAATTGCTGAATGTATACAAAAGCATGTACAGGGGAAGTCTTAAACTAAGGAAATCTTATTAAAAAATTTTGACGTGTGACGACGACTAAAAGCTGGAGCGAGGGTTGCATGCGGGACTAATGAACGTGATCAAAATTTATAACATATTTTGACCTTTTAGTTATTTTCTAAGGATTAAAATTATACCCAGAAATTTATTCACTCGTTGAAATAAGATACTTATAGCAGTTAATATATTAATTTTATTATGAATTTACCAAGTCTTGTATATATACTATTAATTTTATTATGAATTTACCAAGTCTTATATCATATTAACTCAGGTATTAACTTAAAAATAAAGGCTCTCTATCAACTTCGAAAAAGGCCGAGCAATCCAGAAGTTAATACGTGAGTAAAAATGCTTATAAATAAAATGCTTAAAAATTACAATAAAATCCAATTCACGATAGTTATTAGTCAACAAACTACAAAGCATTTACTGCGGGTTTGCTTCTGACATTTAGGATAATATATAGGTATTCGATATGTTTCCTCAAGATATAGTCCATTATATCTTAAGAGAACACATAGTAAATTTAATTCAGATGTAATTAATTATTTAGGCATGATTAAGTAACAAAAATTCAAAAAACTTAACAGCTAAATCATAAATAAAACAATATACTCTGAAATCAAGTAAATGTTTATTAGAATTTGGCGAAATAAAAAAAATTACAGTATTAAGCCTAGTGTGTATACATAGCATGTATATATTTATATGTAGTATATATTATTTGTTATAATAAGTAGTCTAATAAACAATATGTATGTGATGTTTTTGTGCATTATGCGTAAAAATTATTAATTCACTCTTGCGCCATCTACCCACTTCTATATGTTCTCGTTTAGCCAAAGGTTGTCTGTAAAAGATTACCCTAGCGATAAGACCGCCTTTTGTATCTTTACATTGTATATTTTAACCTGTACTTCATGCTACTGTATTTCAGTTTAATTGTGTATATGCCATTATTTATTGTTTTGTTTTTGGTGCAATAGAGTTAAATAAAAATAAATAAATAAGCCGTAATTCTACAAACAGTATCTTAAGTATCTTATCAAAACTATATAATTTATTTTTTTACATCAAGTTAATATCACGTATAAAAATAATGTTTAAATGGGGATTTACCTAGATTATTACAAGGTAAATAACAATTACTTTGTTCCATCAATTATGTTAGATTAGATTAAGAAATTTAATAACTATGTTAGTAATAACTTTAAACCTGAATAAAAATTAACCAATTTAATTTGCTACTTTCATAAAAATCCCTTGAAATATAGTTAGTATTAATACAGCGAAAATCTCTGACTTTAGAGCCGATGAGGAAGATGTGACGCTTTGTATCCATGTTGTATAATTGGAAACCTTCGTGTATATTTCTGGAATTACTGGATTTATCGAAACACCCTTTAGGCAATCGGTCGGTAAAAATAATACTCCAGTTAATGCGCCATCACATACTAACGCGTTACCTTGATCACCCTGAAATATTAGTTATAAAATTATTAACTTTTTAAGTATCCCAACCACATTTACACGTCAAATATTTTCTTGCAGATACGGATCCTGAGTTTGTGTATTTTTTAAAAGAAAAAGTTAAAATTTATTAAACTACCTATTACATAAAAACAGTAATATTATATATTACAGGAAAAGTATAGCACAAAAGTTTACAATATTCAAATAGATATTACTTTGGTCATATTAGAAATAGTAATATAATGTATAGTCGCCGATTTGAGTCAAAAGCTAGAGGTATAGCAACTGCTATAAATCCAAGTGGTCAAAGTAATAAATACTTTAAAGATATAAATAAATACGTAACTAATATCAATCACAAGCTGATATGAGTAACATACTTATATCTATTAATAGTAGATTATTGATACAATAAAAAAAAGTGTAAGAATGAATAATGGTACTCACATCGCAATTCGCAGCAAGGGCATTAAAATTTGCTGCGCATATCATGGTAGGTAAAACATTTCCCAAATTCTGTACACTATGAAATATGGCCGCGCATGTATCATGATTGTAAATATATGTAGAAGAAATTTGTAGTACAGCGGAAGGTGTCTGAAAAATATACAACAATCAAATTATGCAATTGTATTGTATATTTATATACACAACTTGTAAGACAAGCTGACAGCCCACCTGATGGAAAGCGGTATCACATGAAGAGCATCATGAGCGACATAGTATGTATTCCTTAACATCCATAATCCTATTCATGATTAGATAGCTACAGTCACTATTTTATATCCATGTTGTTAAATGTACTAATTCATTAATATTTTCTCTTTCTCGCTATGATCACAAGAGGCTCAAAAAGTCGGCAAGTTATGCAAAGCAAATCTTATTATATTTAATGTATGCTTTTCTTGATCTGCCATTTCATTTTAGATGAAATTTCCTCCCGCGAGTGCTTAGGTTATGGTTTCCCGTCAAGGAACATTGTTAGAGACTACAGTACGGGGTTCTTCAAAAAGGATATTTTAAGGTTTCTTCAGGGTCAGCAATGTGCACGTGACACCTAGTTAGTAACATCTCCAGGCGTCCATAGGCTACAGTGACTTTTTGTCATCATATGCTTAATTGTTACCCTTGTGGTATGCTGTTAGCGTCGTTGAACCACTAGGAAATAATATATAGAATATAATTAATAAAAATGGCATGAAAATGGCATATGAAAGTCGCGAAGTCTCTACACACGCCGATGCAAAGCATATACTAAACACCTTATATAAAAAGGAAACTTACTGTGGATCCGACAGTTCGTGCACCCCAACCAGCAACAGAGCACACAGTGAAGTCGGCAGGGGTTGAGTTAGCAGCCGCTAACGGCAGTGGTCTTACAACAGTTTCTGGAAACGGGACGATTAACTGAAAATTTAATGTTAGATTAGATACTATAAGATAAACAGGTTGTTCCATAAATCTTCTCTCATCTGAAATTGCAAGCCGAACTGCATTCAAAAATGCTTAATATTAAATTTACTTGAATTTAAATATTTCATATTTTATTTATTTGAAAGATTAAATAGAAATAATTTACATAGTAACCTCTCATTTTTTTAGGCATAATCTTAGGAACAAATCTAGTCGTTGGAAGTGACACTTTATACACAGAAAAATATCAAAATGGAGTTAAAAATCTTTAAAGAATGAATAAAGAAAAATGATAAGTTTATGAAAAGAATATATCATAGAATGAATCAATATCACATCAACCGTTAACTTTCCACCGTTGAACATAGATGGGTTTTACCAGTAAGCTAAGCTTGTTAGGCAGCTTGGCAACCGCAATAAGGTTTTGGTGATGTTTTAAGAGAGATCCCTTGACCATTTAGTTCTCTTAGTCGCCTCTTACGACTCCCATAGAAAAGGAAAGAGTGGCCAATTCTATGCCGGGACCATAAGACTTTCTTCATAGAATGAATATATAAACTCAAATAAACCCCAGAATCGACATTTGAGATAGCGGTACCTTGCACGAGGTTTAAGGTTTAATAATGATTGGTAGGATTGATTAGTCGTTCAGAATTTGCCTATACTGGGCGGCCACTCGACAATCTTCCTCAGTTTGTTCTAATTTCTTCGAATTACATTTCCGGCCATACAATTTACTTATCTTTCATACTGTGCCCGCCTATATCGGTCACTTACCGTATTATTATTATAATCCAATTGTTTCCTGCGTCTTTATTCACGTGAATTAGTATATAAAGTATCCTATGTATTAAGATATAACCTAGACATGTACCAAATTACATTCAAATCCACTCAGCGGTTTAATTGTGATTGAGTAACAAACATAAAAACATCTTTACAAATTTTCCTAAATGTAATATTAGTATGATTTTATGCGATGTTCATATTAATAAGTAACTAATTATGTTGAACTCAACAAAATAATCATACTTACATTGAGAATAGCAATATCATTGACATGAGATGGCTGGACTATATGATTTGGATGCACAGTATAGTTTGCTACATTCCTTATTCTGTCATTTGAAGTATTTGTAAGTAAATCCGCGCCTGCGAATACTCGAAGTTCACTTGTAACAATTGGTATCACATTCCTGCAGAATAAACGATATCAAATAAACAGACTTTATTTTGGTATTTATATATTATTACAATTTCAATATGATTAATGGAAAATTATTATAAAAATTATATTAAAATATACAATTATATCCGAAATATTGTCAGAATTATAATTTATTATGGTTTTAAATTTAATGAAGTGATTTCAAATAATACAAAAAGGACTTTACTTATGTGCGAGATAATTTTCTTATATTATTATTTAGCAATATATATTATATTTATTTTATTTAAACATTATTTAATGCTAGTAAAACTTCATAGTAAAACTCGTAGAGCGCTTGCTTATTCCTCCAAAAAATGAATAGTTAATTTTTTTTGATCGCATTTATAGCCCGCACTATCTCGGTGTATGGTCTAGACCATGTGTTTACATATGCGTCTATACATATATAACATATATATATATATATATATATATATATATATATATATATATATATATATATATATATATATATATATATATATATATATATATATAAATGTTCATTGTATTTACCCTGCACTACCGATACTGTAGGTACACCTAGCAGCTGTCAAGACATGTCGGTATGTGATCAACGCACCACCACACGCATGTTCAGCTACATTTCCACTAATACGTTGTATTGAGACCTGTGAGAATAACACATTTTTTATTCCAAAATTGTGATTGCTTTAAAATCTTAATAAATAAATACTATTGAAAGTAATTGTTGAATAAATATACGCAGGTATACCTGCGTTTATTTATTAAACAATTAAACAATTTTCATCACATAATGGCAAGTAAATATATATCAAGCATGATTATATACAATATACATATATGTATATATTTTAATATTACTTAACATAATTAATTTTAAACTTTCGCGGTTTTTAACCATATTTTATGTTCACAGTCAGGACGCGACGCGATTACAGGTAAATAGTACCTACCTACATACCTAATTTTTATTGGCGACGTTTCCACGTGGAATTATTTACTCGTAATTATAATCGTGTCGGATTCAATCGCGATCTTGAATTTAAAATATTACAAAATAAAACAAAACTAAGATATTTATAAAAATGCAATTGAATAAAACAAAAATCCGAAACACTTTATAATGCCGGAGTTCTAAAGCAACATAAAAAAAAAAACTCTTTTTATGTTGTTTGTATAGTTCTGAAGAATTATACGAGTACAAATAGCAGATAAAAAACCACATTGAACACTTCCGATTTAAGTTTTCATAAAGTGAAATATTTAATACATCACTAGGCATTATTTATTCGATTATTTTTTATAGTCTAGGTTGTAGACGTCGACTGCAAAATATCTTGTGTAAAAAAGTCCAAGTTTAGCTAATATTACACCTTCTAAACCTGGACGTTATAAAAGCTTAAAAGTCTGGCTAAATATAGTTGTCACACTTTCGTGACCATTGCCAGACTTTGTTCGAGATTCAAGAATAAATTACTCCCGAATGCGACCTAGTTAGCTAGGGTTTAGACATAAATAGACTGATACCGAGTTTCTAAATGGACGAAGATGAAATGGTATTATTGAGGAGTGATATAGAAGGTATCTTGTAAGGTATTTAATGCATTGAGATGATCTATATTCGACGATTCTAAATTCAAAAATGTTTTTAAGTCAATAGTGAAGTTATCTTTTGGGTACGTGTATTTCATATTAAGTCTTGCCCTCTCTATTTATCAAATAAGACCAAGCGGAAACCCATCATATAATGAAAAAATAGGAAAATTTACTTCTAACTAGGTTTAGATTCATATTAACCATATAATTAGCAATTACATTTTAAAAATTATCGTTAACATATAATTTAAGTAGTCAAGTATGAGAAAAAATACCATTGACTTCATTAATATCTATCAATAACCTATCAATAACATTCAATATAAATATAACAAATATATAATTATTACCGCATACAGGTACTCCTGATGTGTGGAGTTTTGTCCATTTATAATTCTTTCCGATGCAGAATTTGTGACAGTTGAGTCTAATGTACCTCCATATGAACCTGTAAAGGAATAAAAATTACCTAAGCTAACGTTATATGTCAAATATCAAACGTATACAGATTTTATATAATTTTACAATAATTTATAACAAATTTAGTAAATAAATTAATACGTAGAAGTAAATTTTTAATCGCAAAAAGAATTCCTCCCTTTTTTTGAATATTTGTTTAAAAATAAATATTAAAGAAAAGTTGAATATTTAAGTCGAATTATACATAATTTTTATTATGAAGAACTTACAAACAAAAGTTAATGACAAAATATATATAATTTTTTGCATCATGATCACTTTCACAGTCTAACTTCACACACTGAACTGTTCACCTCAAATTAGTTCCTTACTAGATAATACATATAATATATAAGTAGTTAATTTGAGTCATTATGTTTTTATCAGTTTATCGTATTTTACTTATCAGATATTATTAATTTTAGTCCATGATACATTCCACAGTTATGGCAGCTAATTTTAAGAAATATATCTGCAACTTTAAAACGAACTAGGTTTAACTCGCGACTTTTCATCTGCGTGACTGAGAAATGATCAATAGCCAGGATAAAAAGTATCCTTAAGTTGTTAAGACGCTAAGAGATAACAGACATACAAACAAACTCACTTTTATATATAACAAGCATTTTCTTCGTTCGGGTGACCAGGATACGGGTGAACTGAATGGTGTTTACTGAGTGAAATAAAAAGACGCCTATGTCTATCCCTTATAATATTATATCAAATTTTATAGTCATTGGTTTAGATATTTAGGCGTTAACAGGTAAAAAGCAAACAAACTCACTTCTACTTTCATAATATTAGTAAAATAAGAATTATATTTTTGAGAAAAAGGAATATGTAAATAGTTTTAGTAAGTAACCACAATTGAAGATTAATTCTCTTTTTAATGCGATACCTTAGATAAAAGAATATATATAGAAATTTTGATTAGATTTTAACATTAAATTTTTAAAATTTACTCACGTGTTAGTATAATTTCAACCAACTTAAAAAAAGAAACAGTTCTCAATTCGGTTGTTTTTTTTTATTATTGTTACCACTGAACCCCGTTATTGACAACTATAAACCGATTTGAAAAATGCTTTTTATCTGAAATATACATATATATATACTCTTATTTTAGTCATTTTGAAATTTTATCAATCTGTGGTTGAATTTTAAAATAAAAATATTCTTTTTATTCACTGTTGAAATCGGTTATATTTTGTGGAGTAAAACTTGGTAATTGTAATCGAGTTAAAAATATTCTATCGCAAATTAATTGTTCGCAAACGCAATTAAAGTCCTTTTCATGTGATGCCAAAACAGTGGCTTTATTCACAAGCATGTTTACTTGTTGGTCACTATAGTAATATAACGTTATATTGTTATAATTTTTACAACTTTTAGGCCCTATTAATATGAATCATGTACATATGATTCTATTATCTTTGTGTGAAGTGATAATAATTATGATAATTCTACCATATCACAACGATGATGATATGATTATATAGAAAATTATTTATTTTGTATTCACTATCTTAACATTTATTTGTTTCATGTAAGTGTTTTTACATTCTACACATTATTTCTGTCTAAAATTGTCTTAAAGTTTAGTTGTTTTACTATATGTAACTTATTTATATTTCATGCTTCTAAGCCTTTGTTTTCCAAATAGTTTCCAATAAATAAATAAAAGTAATTACGTTCTTAAACAAGTACACCCGAGAACATTACAACGATGAATATGTAATAGATATGCTATAGATATATTACATACACAAATTACCAGATAGAGACTTTGTACAAAAGTCGTTTGCTTGGGCACCTCTGTCCCATTCATGTTTCTACCGTGAAGCAGTTGTGTTTGCATGACTGTGTTTTGGTTTGAAGGGTGGCAGAGAAATTATAGGATACAGAAGAATAACACCTGAGTCCTCAGAAATGGCAACGCATGGGGGATATCATGGGAGAAACAGTATGGTCTGTTATGTCCATGGTACTGCTCATGTCTATAGGCGATGATTACCACTTTCCACCAGGTGGGCCGTCAGCTTGTTTGCCATTCCAAGTTGCATAAAAAAAAGATGCATTACATTCAAAATTTTAAAACGAGGAAATGCCAGCGTTCAAGATATTTTGCATCAAAAGAAAAAATTATTTACGCCACAAATGAAAACAGCAGTACTAAAGCTGCTGTATCACATAGTTAAAATAAAAATAATACAGGAGTAGGTTTGTTCGATTGTTCGTTCGTTCGTTACAGTTTATTTATAGTAAAGAATTAAATTATAGGATACAGAGTTCTAGCAGAAGAAAATAATGAGTATAATGACAGACTTATCTTATTCTTATATATATAATGGATTTCTTCCATTTAATCTTTGAATATCTGATAAAAATTGTGAATTGGTGGAGACAAAAAACTAATAGCTATGAAAAATAAAGCAAGTATATATAAAATACGTTCTTTGAAATGCAGAAATGAATATGAATATCGATTCGGTATAGTGAGGTATACTCGTCAAACATATATCATAAAAAATATCACACCTAATGAGAACCACCTTATTATGAATGCCATTTAAAAATAAAGAAATTTCAAAAAAAAAGAAAAGGGTGGCCTTTTCTATGCCGAGACCTACATCGGCTAGGTTATATCCAAACGAAATATAAAGGATATTTTACATATTCATTCACGCGGATAATATTGCGAAAAACAGCTAAGTAGTAAAAAATACGACCAATATTCTATTAAAAAGAATTTAATACAGCGTAAATAAGTAACTAACAAAAACTCATTTGAAAACGAATTTAAAGTATCAGAATAACAAACTTATCTTTATCGATTCCCTTTATCCGTTCTAAGCCAAAGGTGAGCCAGGAGTTTTCGAAGCCGAGTTTATCGTAACGACAATAAATTGTTACATTTGTCCTTCTACGTGACTTCTTTATTGTGACCTTAAGAGTTTGTAAGTTTGCTTACGAGCTTCCAAAAGTGTCAAATAATTATATAGATTCATGACAATATTTTACATGTATGGAATTTAGAAAGAAAGAAGAAAGAAAGAAAGAAAACATTTATTGACAACAACAAAAAGTTACATACAGTATAAAATAAAACAGTATGTAAAAGAAAACAAGAAAGACTACTCATTGTTTTATATGTTCTGAATATTTTAAAAAGTAGAAACAACATTTTTTTGCCTGTTTGTTTACCTATTATTTTACAAAATGCCTTTAGATTTTAAGCTAAATTTACTAGTTTAGTTTTTTTTTTAAACTAATGTAAAATAGATATCGATAATGTAGTCATTTCTCAATCACCACCAAACAATTCCAAATAAACCCTGATTCAGTTTTAAAATTTATTTAGGGTTTGAATATATTTAATTAAAGAAATTGAGTTATTAAATGAAGTTTATCAAACGACACTTTGTTTTTTATTTACCTTCTGTTAAAAACAACAGTTTTAATAGCAATAACACATATTCTGATAATGATGATGACCGATTTCGGTAAAAGCTACTGCTTCAACTTCATTATTATTTATTAGTCAATCTTCCTGCCGAGGTTTTCCCAAGAGACTACAGCATGGGGTTCTTCAAAAGGATGATAAAGAAGTTTATTCAGGGTCGGCAACGCGCGCGTAACACCCCTGGTATTGCAGACGTACATAGGCTACGGTAACCGCTTACCATCAGGTGAGCCGTATGCTTGTTTTCCACCTCAGTGGTATAAAAAAAATCACAAAGCCCATATGACATTATTTAATATTGGCGTTGTGGCGTTAGTGTGGATGAAAGCTCCATATGCGACTTGTATAAGTATTTTCTTAAGTGAAGGTTCTACTGCAAAGTTGGTATACGAGCACAATAATATTGTTATAATTACAGTGTACTATTTGTTTCTTACGAATTTGCTTGCGTGAATCAGTATATAATGTACCCTATATGTTAAGTTTAAATATAACCCACCCGTATACCAAATTTTGTTCAAATTCCTTCAATCGTTTAAGCGTAATAGAATAACAAACCTACAAACATCTAAAGATCCAGTTGCCGATAGTAGTCAGGTTTTTATTTATACCACAGACTTACTGCACTAAGTATTTGATTTAACATTTATACAATACTATCAACTCGCCCTGGCTTCGCACGGGTAGCAGAACAGATGTGTTTATATTTTTTGCATTAGCTTGTTGCATTAAATATTTTTTTTTAATTACGAATGTGGCAATCAAGTATACAGCCCGTCTAATGATAAACCGTTTTTGTAGCCTGCCACACTAGGGATGTCAAGTGCGTGTTATCGACCTTGAAGAAACCTTAGTTTACGCTTTTTGAAAAACCCCATACTGTAGTCTCTAGGGAAATCCTATGTGTAAGAATAAAAAATATAAATACGAGTTAAATGTAACATATTACTACACAATTTGGAATACTTTTAATGTATTTTATTTCCTATTGTGCAAGTATTTGATAATGATTAATATTGTGTCTTAAATAGCTTTTGCAAATACCATAATAGGTATTGTAAGCTATCTTTAAAAGATAGACATCAATATAATCAGATAAACATACGTAAATATGGTATTTTTGTAGATCTATAAAAGAGACACAATCTTACCATATATTGCTTTATCTTAAATGGAGTATGTAGCATTTTCGATGGAAGTTCCCAGACGGCTCAATTTTTTCCGACATCTTTAAAAATTATCATCATATTTCAACCAATTTACATAAAGCCTTTACGAATTAAAACCGCATGTAAATACGTTTAGTAGTTTTTTATAATCATCGCAAACATACAGACAGACAGATAGTGGTGGACTTTATTTTATAACATGTCGTAATTATATAAAATAATTTAAATATTTTTTAAGAATTTTTTTATATATTGCCATTGTGGTTATTAGGTTTATTCCCATGTTAATACCATTTGATTTATGTCATGATTGAAACGTTATTACATTTGCCGATCGAAGTTCTAAATTATCATACCTAGATGAGAATTACTATTATTAACTATGTGTTGATCGTTATTGATGGTTTGTCCGCACAAACCCAAATAGCTTATTCATATTAGTGCTCCCCTACATACATATAAAAGGATGTTCTATGAAAAATTTCATTGTTCTAAACCGATGGATCTAAGCTTATATGGCGTAGCGTGTATTGCTGATAACATGACCAGCCGGCCTTTTTTAAATTTCATGTTTTTAAATTTGGCGGGATGGAGAAGGACATACGTTGCTTTTATCCTGATCACGTGGGGAAAAACGGGAGAAAAAAAAGTTTTATATTCGAGTAAATTTGTTTGAGAGTCTCAAGTTATATTACAGATTTAAGATACATTTCTTACGAAAACAAGCACATGGCCCAACTA